ATTATACCGGAACCCATTATACCGACGCGCATTATACCGAAACCTATTATACCGACGCGCATTGTGCCGTAAAGGCCTACCGATGTGCGTTGTACCGAAATCCGTGCCAGTGGGACGGCACATTGCCTTAACCCATCAGTTTTATGACGCGCACTTCCGCGTGGGACTATATCTTTACAGCGGGAATTTCAAGCTTTTGTCAGTGTAGACATAAAAAGCAGTCCTAATACTCGCGCGTTTTTCAATATTTTCATTATTTGAAACTCGCACGGTGCTTTGAATCTTTCAAAACGTCATGTAGTCACATGATTACGTACATGTATGACAGTGCACAGTAACATTATATAGGCATAGAATAATAAAAGTGGGGCCTGAAAAATTGAAATATGGTGCTATGCTGAAAAGCTAAGAGAAATTCTACTGTATCGGCATATCAAATAGATAGTTGATATATTACTTTATCATACACCTTGGTTTAAATTATACATGATTTTTTCATTGAACAGACAAGTCTTGAAATTAAAAATTCATTTTTTATTTACTTCCATAATATTTTAACTTTAAACTTTTTCATATGAGACTGGATGTTAATCTGTTGTTTATATGTTCATATTTAATTAAAAGTTTATCGCACAAAAACATATTTTCAGATAAAGCTTAATTTAAAATCGTTGAACATCTTTACATATCAGTTGCGACCAGAATTTTTTTAACTGATGCTAGGCGTTTCGGATTGAGGGGTCGTCTCAACAAGCTTAATTTCAGTTAACCATCAATTTCTGTATTTCATAGAGGTTAAAGTCATAATTCTGTTATTTATGTTTGATTATGGTAAACCCTGTACTTCATAAAATATATTTAACCGTGGTAAATTCTGTATTCAATGAAGTTAACATTTACTTATACTGTATTGTTTCATTGGTAGAAATAAATAATTGTGCTATTAAATATAGAGTTTCACATTTCTTATTGAACTTGATAATTACTGTATTTTCGATCTTGTGCTGATGGGGCCAAAAATTGTTGTCATGGAGAGGGAGCAAGATATGTTGTCATGAAGATAGTAAGAAACGCATTCATTTGTTTTATTTTAAATCTTTCCAAATCCAAGTGTGATTTTTATCAATGTGTGCCTCAATGATCCTATTAATTCTGAAGTTATTTCATTTTCTAACCATTTCACAAACATTTCTTTTCATATAATTCTTCTAAATTGGCATCGTTTCCATGTTTAAATTGCTTATACAGTTTTTGGCTACTGATATTATCTCTATCATCAGTTTTCATTCCACAAACGAAATATCAATTATTTGGCCCAATATTTCAGTTTCATTATTTTGAAACATTGAATACATGTTTTAATTGCAGTTTAAAATGGTGCTCATTACCTAAGTCCAATATTCAGCGCCCCCTTAATATCTTTTTAGGGGCAAATCAATACTACACTTAGCAGGTCATCTGATTCTCAATTTGATTTTGCTTTGAATTGATTGTCAATTGGGACCCATAGTCTACCATAGTGACTTTGCTCCACCGTTCTTGGTTGAGTTTAAGTCATGGCTCTAATTGGTACAAAAATTAAGCTACCAACGAATGTTGTTTTTCCTCCGGGGCCTTGCCATAACTTACGAAAACAATGGTGTGGACATTTTTGAATTATTTCCGGTGTTTCCTTTTGTTGCTACCTCATTTCTCAAAGTATCCATGCCAATTACTTGACTCTGTTGAAAGCCCATGGTCCAATCAATCGTACCCCTTATCTTATGATGACCACACAAAATGATGGAGCGTGGGAACCAACTGTGCCAAATGCTACGGATATTGCAGCTATGTGTGTTGTGTTTTCAAGTGTTATTTTATGTATGTTCGACAAATCGAATTATGGTTTTGATACTATCTAGATGTATTTGATAGTTTCTATATGTCTCGTTCATTCATTCGACCAATAAAAATCATAACTGCCTGGAAAGTAATATGAATAAAAAATGTAAATAAATGAATTAAAACGTCAAATTAAGAAGCAAAAGTCTTTTCTGGGTCACTGCGAATGGCATGATTTCCTCGAGTCTCTTCAGTTGCAAGGCAACCATACTGGGACCGATTCGTGTCGTTCCACTACTGCCCTTGGTGGGGGCCCGCTACCATACTATATGACTCCCGGAGTTTACTAAAGCACGTTAGTGGAGGAACCAACCACAGTCTCACAATCTGTCTCCGGCAAGAGCGGCCAGAGAACCAACCCATGCCAAGGGCCGGTAAACGGTTGGACTTTCGGACCGGGTGTCCGTAGTGACAATGATCAACAACTCCGTACCTGGGGCTCGAACGCGGGACCTCCGTATCCCACGACGTTCAACCGCAAAGTAGCCTCAGTCTACGCCACTAGGCTACCCTGCTTAGGTGTCAAAACTGCTAAAAAATAATGTAGTTGTTAGAATTATTTGCTTGGATAAACATGATATTACATTTCTTAATTGATTAATCTGATTTAGTTGGAATCGAAGTTCGACCAACGATCAAGGCAATGCAATCAACAACTCTTGCAAATGTGAACAGGAGTCGTAAAGACATAAAGTACAAGAATCATTATCAATGTAAAGTATAATATTTAAGACACATCTTTGAATATCGGGTAGGAGAAACATTCCAAAATGAAGAAGAATCATTGATTTGTTGCCAATATATCAATTGCGTCTCAAATGAATGAAATAAAAGGTATCACGGGCCACTAAAGCACGTGAGTGAAAACAATTATAATTGATGCATCTAGATCGCTCAATATAACGTTTAGTGAATAGATTTGTGTAGATACGTCGAGGAAAATAAGCTATTTCGACGCTTGAAATAATCTGATTACGCTTATTAATAATTACGCGTGGCTATTAAACACACAAGTGTTGGGTAGAACAAAAACAAGAAAACTGAACGACCTATTAAGGAACTGTACTTCAGTTTCAAAGTGCTCAAGATATTCCCGCATGTTCAAAAACACAAAATTTATATTTTAGGCTATCCATATTTTGTCAGATATCTCCAATTCATATTACAGGGAAAACATAACCATGTTTCCGAAAGGAATTTACACTCGCTACTCAAAATAAGGCACAGACACAAGTACAGAGAATAGCCTAGTGAAGGCATCTATCTAATAGTGGCTTTTCCATATAGCTTTAATGACATTTTAGGAGATCTGCATTTTTAATCACTAACGACTAACATTTTCTTCTGTTTGAATTCTGAGTGTAATTTTCTATCAAAAGAACTTAGTTTTTGCACTGTTATTTACCTTTATTCAAATTCTAGATATTTTCAAGTTTTCTAAAAATGGTCGGGCTAAATCCCCATTGACAAAGTAACATACATTGGAAATATAACAGGCTTTCGTCGATGTAACAAAAGCGAGGGGCGTAGTATATGAATTTCAAAATCGAAGAAACTTATTAAAACTAGGCTATATTTTCTAGTTTTTGGCCAAATTATTATCTGCAACTTGACTTATTAGTAGGTTCAAATCGAGAAAGCTAAAAAATCGTAACCAGGAAGTTCATCCATTTTGTTACATTGACGTTCCGTCAAAGTACAGGTAACTATACTAGTTGTGGAACAGTGATTTGGTATAACGCCTTTCGGTACAATGCGCGTCGGTAATTGGTTTCGGTATAATGCGCGGACCCCGCTATGGTAGCCTTAATAACGCTATAGCGGGACAGGGTAACATTTTTGAAGTTTGAAATTGAATTTCTTTTGAACAAATGATCGAAACCCTATTACAAGGTTATACGTAATTCTACAAATGTCTGTTTTAACAATAACTGCTGTTAATATCCTCTTCTCATAAGTGTGAAATCATTATAAATCCCGTTTGATACAGAAAACATGAACGCTGCATGATACATTAGACATGTGATAAACACACAAATTGCCTTCAGTTCAACTACGTAAAGTAATTCAGAAAAAAGCGACCGAACGGAGCCAAAGATTCAATCATGTTTGCCTCAGACAACACATCACCAGCCCTACAGAGGGGGATCCGAGTGTCTCATATTTAAGAACATTTGTTGAAATCAAGAATGCTGTCGACACCTCACTAGAACTGAAAAGGTGTGTACAAACAGTGGATGGATAGATACCCGGATGTATTAATGCCAAAGGACAATATTTTGAGAATCTTTGTTGAGTTTTACCTCAAATAGGATTGCACAGTTGGATTTAGTTTTTCTGATTTTTATCTATATATGTTATGATGTCAATATGAACTCAAGTCCTGGACCAAGTGCCCCTACCATGGGGTGTGAAAAGTGTGATTACAGAAAGTTCTATAAATTAATCATTCTAAAAATTCCCTGCTGTATAGCCATATAAATTATTTAAATTGTGTAAAATTAATGTCAAGTGATTTCCTCTTCTTAAGAAAAAGATACAGCATTTTTATCAGAACTTCTGGATCGGCCTTTGTATACACAATAACGGTGGGGAATAACCAAATATAAATATTATTGAAACAATCTATTGTGAGTATATCACAGAATTAGTGGACGTATCATGATATTCTTATCTTGCTCGGGTCCAACGTCCGCGACGTCTGAGTCCGAGATTTGTAAATATTCGGATACCCTGCGCCAGAGTTTAGTCTAAGCTTCCCTCTGCCTAGTATAGACAATATTACAATTGAGTAGCTCCGCCCCGAAGAGTGGTGCCTATCATGACAGGCCGGGTAATAAATCATTTCAAATCTACCACGCTGAACCTTTCTCAACCAATCAGCAAAGTGGAAGGAACGTGCTAAATACAGGCTCATTTACTATGCAGGGATGTCAGAGGAAATGATTATATAGAACGTCATACATGGGGTGTAAAAAGCTCTCCTTAACGACATTACACCTTTGTTAACTAGTTTGAAGAGTGCAGTGTACTTAGTCAACAGAGGATCAAGGTCGGATTGGTTGAAATAACAGCTTTAGAACACATTGGATGATCTAAACAGCTTTCAATTAGAGTTACAAGTTTAAAACCCTACCATATGACAAAAGGGACACTATTTAAGCCGAAAACACATTTCACAATTCATTGATCGTTTTGAAGCAGTTTCAACCGTTCGACAGTTCAGGGGTATGTTACCTACAACAACAGTTAGAGGGGGCCTCTAATGGAAGGAAGTTGCCCCTTATGACCAGGAATCTGAGAAGCCCTTTATCAAATACCTTTATAAACCAAAAGAAAATCCAATATTCAATGTTTCAAGCCATATTTCATTAGAATTGGTCCATGATTTAGGAAGATATTGACATTTCAAGATCATATAGGGGAATGTTCGCGATTTCACTGGAAAATGCCTTTGTCTATGGAAGCTTAGAACATTTCTTTGGATGACAATAACTTTGCAACAAACAAAGGTAGGATTCTAGTTTTAAGACATGATGTGCGGGATTCTAAATTGAACAAAGTCAGAAAACATTAGTTCTTTAAGACCGTAGCTTAAAAAATGTCAGGGGAGGGTGTTGAAGGGTTGAAGAATCGCGAATATTGACACATTTAATACATTTTATCCATTTTCAGTAATATTTGGTTATGGCTTATAATTTCTGCTAATTTCAAGACTAAGACTAAATATATGGTACCAACATAAATTTTAGACCTTCCTCGACAACATGTTAAAATAAAAAAGAATTCCTGTCAGTAATAAGGGAAATATGACCCGTTGCAGGGGTTCACTTTTTTGGACCACCCTGTATGATTTGAGCCCCAACTACAAGAGTGGGAAAGTACCTAATTCAGCCAACAGCGCGTTGAGTTATTGCCAGTGAACATGTATAACAAAAACAACGACCTACTGTAGACAAAATCGATAATGTTTCTTTTAAAGTTTCAAAACCTTTTTATAAGCCTGTCTGAATTATAACGTGTCCTAGTGACATATTATATATATTACATTTCTTTCTAACATGTATTGTGATTATCTATAGGCTATAACATAGACCTTGATCTGTATTACCTTCTGTAAGCATATTTACAATTTGAAGTTATTTTTGTAGAGGAATGCAAATGTAGTAGGGCTATAGGTATTGTTCACAAAGCATAGGAAGGCTGCAAGATGTTGAAGAAGATCATCGTGGTGGCATTGCTGAGCGTTTTGGCACATAGGATATTTCTTATAGTGTAAGTACATTGGCGCATAGGATATTTCCCATGGTGTAAGTACAGCTGTACTACATCGGCGTTTTGGCACATAGGAGGTTTCTCATAGTATAAGTACATCGGCGTTTTAGCATATAGGATATTTCTCATAGTGTTAGTACATCGGCGTTTTTGGCACATAGGATAATTCCCTTAGTGTAGGTACATCGGTGTTTTAGCACATGGGATGTTTCTCATAGTGTAAGTACAGCTGTACATCTGCGTTTTTGCACATAATATATTTCTTATAGTGTAAGTACATTGGCGCATAGGATATTTCTCAAAGTGTAAGTACATCGGCGTTTTGGCGCATAGGTTATTTGTCATAAGCACATCGACGTTTTGATGTTAATTGGCTAATTCAGATCGGATGCGGTAAAAAAACGAACGCCAATTTGCGAACGTATTGTTGTTATTGGGTCCCACAGCTGTGAATGTGCAAGTACTTGAGAATCGTGCCGCTAAACCTCCTTCGTATATCAAAAATGTATTCTGTATTCGGTATTCAGGCGTGTTACTTATATTGAATGTACAGCTACATAAATTTGTTTCCAATTCACCTGTTTTTAAAAGGGAGTGTGTGCATTGATTTTTTAAACCGGGAGAGTTTGACTTCTTCTTTGTTGGTTTGGATAGAACATTGCATTTAGAGTAAATATAATGAAATGGAAATAAAGACCTGTTTCCAAGACACCTGTTTTGAAAGGGATAATTAAATTGACATTGAGTTTTAACAGGAATAATGGATAAAAATACCACTAATGCTTCTATACTATCGTCATTGTGAATGGAAATGGTGTTTATGATAAAATAAAAGGTGAAAATTGATCGATGATAATATTCTACTTTTGATTACAAAAAAGTAAATCTAAATTTGAGTCATCAAAACTCACCGCTTGTCTTATTTATACAACTAAATCCATAATTTGGGGGGCACAATCATGAATGATAACATTTCGCTTTTTTAATTTTTTCAGGAGACTTTTAGGATTCCATATAACGCTGTACAACCATAGACCAGGACCATGTAGGATTGTCAAAGGCATAGGTACATATTTTGTATTCATCCAATAACTTGAATTTATCAATTGTGCAAAAAAAGTAATCTAGGCCATTGGTTTAGCGTTTGTTTAAAAGCCCACGAGTCGAGTTTACTTCGGGTCCAGTTCAACTTATTCACTTAGTTCAACACGTTAAACCTAGTCTGGGCCTTATTTCTTATCTGACATATCTTGTGGCCCGCTCTAGGTTTAACTTCCGTGCCTATTCGGCTTATGATGCAAAAACATTTAATGGTGGCCTATCGTAGCGCATGAAATTCTATGCGCGTTTAATTAATAACTGATGGTGATAATTTGCAACAAATGAAAGCATAGCACGGAAGTTAAACCCAACCACGGCAACACGAACATTCAGATTAAAAAATGAAAGCCGTGGTATTGGGTTTAACTTGTTGAACTATTTATTCACTATGACTTCTACCATATACAAATCCTTTCTCCGCCCCAGATAATTTTGGCACCAATAGGGATCACAAATAAGATATAAATAGACACTCTCAGGTGCATTTCGAGTATATCTGAGAGCCATATTTGCATCATCAAATACAAATCACGAAAAAGGAGGGGGGCTGTGTAAAATGTAAATGTTAAATTAACGATTCCCGCTCCATTGTTCTACTATTATGCTTACAGTGGAAGGCTCGGAAGACATGCAAACATTGAAAGATGGCCTTACCTTAATAACAGGGGTAAGTTATGAAGACATATTATAATAGGGAGGTTAAGATAAACGTTTTCATCAAACGTCTTGCTGAACGTGTAGAATTATAATCCTTTGTGACTTTCTCCCATTTGTACTGTTTAATATTACGATTGAGTAATAAGGTATACCGAAAACAGTTGTAATTATGTCTCTGTGAAAGTGAATTGAGAGTGGGACGAGTGGGACAGTTATCCCTGAGGGCGGGTTGAAATATTACACGCTCACTAGATTCTCTTAAAACGGGTAACTCACTTTGATCCCACTTTGCATTGGTTCATACAAAAAGGCGATGAGATGAAAACTCAATAGTAGGTTGACCCCGGGCGAATTTGAAAGTATAATCACAAGTAAACACAAAATATGATTGCAACTTAATTGACAAAACCAAATGTGTTGTTTTACCATGGGCTTTCAATAGAATCCCCATGGTTTTACCAACCACCGTCCATTTACTTAACTGTTAAATCTTATTTTTGGTATCATCATATGTCCAAAACGTGATGTTAAATTTGTTCTTTGTTTATATGATTAGGGAATGAAACGTTTCGACGATCCTTCGGCTGTAAGTGAAGCGGATGGGGATGTATATTTATTCGACTTCAATGCCCCAGAGGGAAATGCTGTTAAGTTGGAAATTAAAGGAGATACATTCAACAAGAAAACATTTAACCCCCATGGCATAAGCTTGTATGAGGATTCAAAGCAAGGTAGGTACATTGCAAATAAGGTTTGATCGAATTCATACTGATCTGACTCTGAGGGTCTTGATGGTTTGATTTCCACACATGGCGTTGATGTTGGCATACTTTCGTCCATTGTCAGGGACAGATCTGGGAACCAACAGGGGGGGGGGCAAAATTTCATTGGCCCCTAAAACCCAAAAGTGAGCCCAAATTTTAAAATTTTGAGGCCCATTTTCCTGAAATTAAAAATAAGGCCTTAAAAGGCCCAGTAATGACCAAAAAGGACTTTTTGGGGCCTTAAGGCCTTTTTTGCCCAAAATGTTTTTGGGCCCAATTGTTTTCTGGGCCCACTCAAGGGTGGTTTTAGTCAAGTGAACTCGACTTAATGTTGTTGTTTCACGTTTCTTTTTGACGATTTGGATATTTGTTTTTTATTTTTGTTTTCAACATTTGCGTCGAGGATATTAAGCCCTGTATATTGCGGTAAATGCTTTTCTGCCCTCTATGCTCAACAAAAGTTACACAGATAAGATAATGGATCCAATGCTTCAACTAGAATGTATTAACTCTTACCTTAAACACAGGAAATACTTGATAATTGAAGGAATGTAATCATTTTCGTATATGTTTGAACCAATTTCCAATATGGTTCTCAAGGTCACTCAAGGTCACTGAATACTGTCTAAATGTGAAACCATGCAACCAAAACGAAATCGTAATTATTTATTACCAACATATCTGTTTTCGGTTTCTTCACCCTCCTTGGTGTCTGAGAAGGCGATTCAATTGTCATAAGACGATGATAAACTTTCGAGTTGAAATCTCGATCTCAATATGGCTGCTGTTATTTATTGTAATTTCGTTTTTCGCTTCACCTAGAGTTTTACTTTTACACAATCATTACCCAGAATGCATCTACACATGGGGAAAAAATTCTTATACTTCTTCAATTATCAAGCGTTTGACGTGTGTAAGGTAGGATTAAATACATTATCGATGAAGAGCATATTCTAATACATAATTTGTGTGATTTTGGTTGCCTAAACAGGCCAGGAAAGCATTTCCCTCAATTTACAACCGGGAAGTGTGTACGACCCTAGTATGCAAGAAAATAACAAAAAGTAAATATCCAAATTATCAAAAAATAATGACAAATAAAGCATACGATGGTCGGATTTATATGACTAGGGTGGTTTGTGCTCAGTAGACTAAATTGTTTACTTTAGTACTAACACCCCAGTCACATTTGTCGTAGGGAGGCCGTGCGTCGACCGCAGATCAATTAAATCAGTGTATTTCTGCGGCGAGCGTAGGAATACTACGCTCGCCTTGCGGCCTCTGTACGGCGTATTCAGTTTTTTACAGGCCGCAGGCTAGGGTCGCCGTAGAAATTATAACTCGGAGTTATAATATTTGTTCATTTCTGAGGTCCCCGTAGAAATCAAATGGCTCAACAAGATTGAATCATTATTTGTCAATGTTTCACGATCACTTTTCATATGACATTACATCCTAGCACTATGAATAACATTTATAAATTGTCCCGATGTAAATAAAATGAAAAAAGTATTATTTTATCAACAGAAATTTAAAATTCACCGTGCGGCTGCCGTGGGAAATGTGACTGCAAAAGTATGAGAGCGCAGAATTTCCACGACGAGCGTAGAAATGTTACTGGCCGCAGAATTGATAGACCGCAAGGTCGCCGTAGGAAATGTGACTGGGGTGTAACATATAAAATGCTTCAAAAATCGCTCATAGTAAATTTCAAGGAAAATATGTGATAGAGAAAAAGGTGATACCTTATATATCAATGGACCCTTTCTTAAATAGCTTTGAGATCTCGTTGAACTCTCGTTTTTTAAGATCTACATTTTTCACCATCAAATACCAACATATTCTTGATGGTATTTGATGATATCTAAATTCTTTTTGAAATTTTCAATTAAAGCAACTTTGATTTGTACAGTTATTTAGCTTTATTCCCAGGATTTTGAAGTTTTTTGAAAAAGGTCGGGCTAAATTTCCATTGACTCAAAGTTGAAAAAGCTTAAAATATCCATAACTCTTTCGAGGGTCACACTTTAAATGCTAAATCACAATCTACATGTCAACAAGATCACATAATTACATGACACACCCATTCTCAATAAGAATGCAAAATAGGTGACCCAGGGCTCAATCTCAGCATTTACATTACCAACATCACTTTTTGTTGTATATATAAATAGTATATATGACCCTCTACCTAGCACGTTTGTAATATATGATTTCTCAGTTACACATATTTTATTATATGTACTAGAATAGGGCTATTCATCAGTTACGTGACTGTCGCCATATCAAAAATCAGGATTGTATGGTGCCATTAGAGAATTTTTCATGCATAACATCCCATATAAAGTGGTGTATTATACACAAGGCGATCCCAGCTTCTGGTTAAATGACAGAAACTATCATTTTGACATTTTAACCATGTTGAAACTGTTCTTTGACCAATGTCGCCAGACTTTTTCATATCAACCCCCCTGTGCTATAAATCATATAAAAACTGGTGAAAAATTAATGTTTCATATGTGCCATATACGTATCTGGATTCCAATTTGAATACTTAATAGAAAGTCGTAAAAGTTGATATTTGAAACGTTGAGATTTTGGGGCCAGAAAATTATAAATCCCGTTTTTCATGAAGTTATAGATAAGAAAATCATTTACGTGATCATAGTTTTCACAGGCAATAAGTGTCTGAGCAAATTAATGTTATATCACCTTATTGTATGGTAGGAGTGATCCGTGTTGATCAGTATTTTTAACTAAATTGACATTGTTTGAATATAATACAGCCAGCAAAAGGGTATTTGCATCATTTACGACACCATCATTTACGATACCTAGTAGTACGAAAATAACGGTTACCATACTCCTAGCTCTGAATAAAGTTTATAAAGCGGGAAATTTGAGTATTCATATTCATTTGAATCTGAATAAAGAAACACTACCACCTTTGTAGAGTAAATCCACACAATTTAAGGTATATATCACACCTAATATAGTATCGCTCTTGTAAAACGAAGATGTAGTGTTAATTTGATGTTATCTATGGCATAAAGACAGTCAGTATAAATGTGAAGATGAATATAAAAACACTTTTCTATCATTCAATTTGAATTGAAGCTATAGTCTTGCGTTTTCTATGTCATAAATTACGTTACCATAGGTAACGTAATTGATAAATTCTATTGCACACATTTTCTGTCGTCAAATCTTTACAGGTATGTTCATTTATCAACTTGTATACTTTTCGTAGATGGGAAAGCATCCTGCTGAAATTCAAAAAGACTATAGTGATAGGAAAAAGCACCAAAAAGGGCGTGCTCGGGTTCATAAATGCATTGTCTCAATAGCTGAGTGCACTATCTGAAAAAGATAAAGACCATAAAAGAAAAAATTATGTCATTGCGCCTGAGACATGTTATGTTAGTCTCAGATAGCGTAATAATACAGGAGACAAATCAAAAAGAAGAGAGACTGTTAGCAATGACCCAAGTAATGCCGATAACAATGATTGTGACCGTGTTTATGGCAGTGGTACAAGTAACACACAATTAATAGTTCATATAAATTTTGCCTGGAATTTTGCAAAAAGGACATGAATGGCTCTTTATAAAACGGATAAGTAGAACTTGGGGACGTACGTACCCATAAAAAAACAAAGCTCCCTGAACATAGATAAACATGGAAAAAACAATCACAAATCATTCCAAAGGATCTCACAGAAGCAGAGAAAAATAGAACCAAGGGTCCAAGCACGCCAAAAACACCAAAGAGTGCAGGGGAAAAGTGATGCGATGCAAACTTTAACATAGTGATATCCCTAGAGTTGAGGAGAAGATTAGTACGAGGAAAACACGTAGTTGAAGAGTTGAAGCAGACGCAACATGACTGGCGGGGAAATGCCTGAAAGAGTGTTCAAGTCTAGTTGATATAATATGACTAAAGGCGATGGAAGGTGATACAAGCTTAAAGGCCTTGCTTGGCTGGACAAAAATGAAATGAGTACTCGACGTTTACCACAAGCAAAGGAATATAAATGTGTTGAAGCAAATAAACAGTGTTAAAAGCGCCCTGCACAAAAGTGAAACAAACCAGGAATGACATACAAGAAGAGACAACATAGCTATCCAAGAGTATTCTGACAGGGCCATCATGCAGACTGAGAGTGGAGATAAAGAGCTACATCTTGGCGATTTTTTCACTGCAGTTTACAATTACTGTTGGTATGTCGAAAAGGCACTGCATGTAGATACTGATGATAATAAATACTATTTTTTAAGAAAAGAAGAATCTCCAATGGTCTCTAGAATGTTACGTTATTTGGCTGAGAGTCTCAGATTTTGAGTGTGTAGTAGAGGAGTCAATTCCAACAGGGAAGTTTAAAGGGCTATTTAAACTCTAGATCTGTGTCCTGAGATTCAAACTCGTGTTCTATGGGATTTATATGTCCAAGCTAGGATTAAGTAACGTTTTCAGGAGTTCATATGTACCTATGATATTAGAGGAGACACTGAATAATGTTACTTTTTGACGATAATCACAAATTATATAGTATAGTTTTGATCTTGCGATTGTAAGTTTTGTAATCACTTACGTTACAAAGGATTTAGCATTACAAATGTGTGAAGAAAGATAAAGTCCCTTTAATCCTGTATATATTCATTCCAACATATAGCGTATGTGACAATATATTGATTCATTACGTGTTTTGTGCATAAATAATGGTTGTGTTAGCTTTAATGTTTCTATTGCAAAAGTTAGTTAATTTCTCCATCATTTACGTTACTTGATGGTCCACTGAACTATGTTTGTTTTAAATGTTACTATTGGTTAAAATGCAGTGTAAATATGATAAAAGAAGCACCAGTTGATGGTTTAACCATGATCACATATGATATGACTCATTCTACGATGTTACTATTTTTGGATCATATACGTTACCAAGGGTGTAACGATATACAAATTTCAAATAGATTTTGTATGGCATATCAAACACCAAGATATGGCTATCAATTGATTCTGAACACTATTTCTAATCAGAAAAGAAAGATAAATTTAATGTTAACAGACTGATTTTCTATAAAATTGGAATGACATGTAGCACTTAGGTTTTGTTTGTGAAAAGGAATAATACGTCACATGTAATTGTTGACTTCAATGTGAATTCTTTCCACTTGTGTATCTTCAAAATGCCTGATGTATGATTTAGTATTAAGACAAAATATATCCGTATTGTTAGGAACAAAAACAGACATGAGAATAATATGTTGAATGAAAATATAGGTCTCTTGCTACGACAACCCTCTATAACGTAAATGACAGAGACTTACTTTTTTAAATAAACACTAGATAAGCTTCAACATGTGACTTTTCCATGAAGGGGTATGAGATTGATGAAGATATTTTGACTTTAGATACTTAACATATATTCAAATAAAAATACATCAACTTTAAACCATTCAAAGCTACTTTAATTTTCGTCAGATTCATACCTGGAATTTGCATTCTTATTGAGAATGGATGGACAATGGAGATACACATGAATCCAAATGGAAATCCAAATAAATCAAGAAATTAAATGACTTTCTGCTATTTCTCTGTTACTATGAATGGTATTCTGGCCCTACCAACACTCACATCTTTTGATTTATCTTTATATATCTATATAGAAATGGTCATTTGTATCCAATCAGACATCGATGTTGCAAACGAAGAAATGGGGAAAATGATGAACTCGTCTACGGGAAAATAAGACATTCACATTAAATGTCTTCCATACACCTGAAGATTCAGATATTTGTTTTGACATGTCAAAGGTTCCGCCTCCATACCACGATATCAAATATGTTTTAAAACGATATGTTACACTCGAATCCAAACATGATTTCGTCAAGAAAATGAAATAATGCGGGATACGGGATGCCACTTAGCACACGCTGCAATGATGTCATAAAAAAATTCTCATATTAAAAGTCTTTTATTGAAATCGAATGAATACAAAACATTTTGTCTTACATAAACCGACTTCACGGCATGATATTGTTGATAAATTCCGAAATATTGTGGTCCATGATAAATATCTTTAAAATACCTTCGATTACCCTTGCCGTACATGTACAAAAGGTAACTGCGTAAGATTGCTATTTGCCGTGAAAATATTAGACCGTGCGATAGCGGTAGCAAAATATACTATTTCTCTAATATAATTAAACAGACGACAGCATTGGTGTTGGTAGGGCCAGAATCACAGACACGGGAACAAGAGTTCTTCCCCCTCCCACTCACTTTGTATTAGGTAGAAAAAAGTATTTTTTACATTAGCTATACAGTGACTGGGGGGATTTAAATCTTCCTGGGCCTGTGGCCAGAATACATGGAAACATATAGAATGGTACTAAATGAACTTATCGACACGTGCACTGTGATTTAACATTAAAATTTCGATCCTTATAACAGTAAATTAACTTTTAAAGGTTTTGTAACATTGTGTCAATGGGAATTAGCCCGACCATTTTCAGAAAACATGTAAATCTTTGAAATTCGAATAAACCGTGCAAGTCCCAGTTGTTTTGATTAAAAAAGTAACACGCATAATTAAAATATGACATCAAATGGAAGAAAATGTTGGTCTTTTATTGTTAAAAATGCAGATCTCCTAAAACTCTTTTAAACATGACTTTGGCGATAATTAAAGGCTGTATATGAAAACATATCTATTTGACTAGGCATAACCTAACGTATTTGCCCAAAACCAACATTTTCCAAGTCCAAATCATTGGTTTCCTTAAAAATGAATGTTATGAGTGTTCTTCGAAGAATAATGAAGATTGAAAAAATGGTCAACATCTGGAATCGACCCTAGATACTGTGCCTCCTGTGCAATGTCAGTACCAGTATCCAAGCATTTGTGGCATCTTGGAGTGACAAGTGGACTATATTCTAACGAAATGTGACATCTACAGGGTGCTTGGTTTTTAGGGATCCAAAGTATAACATGTCCAACGCGTAAATTATCAAACGTATGGCTCCCGGGGTATGGCTTTTACATTTTAGGCATGAAAACCTAATATTGTGCTACAAAAAATGAACGTTCCATCAAGAAATGTAACAACAAGGTCCATGGATCTATTATTATGTTATTCTATTGTTTTATTGACGTATAAACTTGATGCCTTACACTTACCAGAAATTAGCAATCTTAAAATTGCAACATTTTCTAAAACAACATCCCAATATACAGTCTCGGAATCCCGATTTCTGATTCTCATAGTTTACGCAGTTGAAAGAATAAACAAGTGTTTTTCAATGCAATTTTCTTTTGTAACTAATAAAGAGATAGACGTCTGTACATTTGAAACACCTTGTATGACACCGTTACACACAGTGACGTGTAAAGCCGAAGAAATTAATACGCCGCGGAAGGATGTATGAGTCGTCCGCCATTCTAAAAGTATATAAACCACAGTTTTTCCTTAGTTTGAACAACGGTGCCAACTGTCAACTCGCAATTTACGCAATCTCTAAGGAACAAGGTCAGGAAGTTCGAACGAGGTAAGTGATTAATTTGATTTGATTTCTACCAGATATTTAATGTTTAGATAGATGAATCATTCTGGTTACCTTACATTGGCATTCAAAGTTAGGCAAAACTATAGATAGTTGGCACAATCTGTATATGTGATTTTCATTTTTATTATGTTGTCTTTTCTTACCTCGATGTCGCGCATATCACTTCACCTAGGAGGATGCCATACACTTTATGTCACAATCATGATGCTATTTTGTCATCCTATCTTTAGTGTTTGTAGTTGGAAAACGGTTAATCATATCAATATTAAAAATCTATTTTTACCGAACCTGTAAACATTTTTGTTTATGCGATTGTTCAGTAAGTTCAAGAGTCAGATATGTGCTGAACGGCGGCCGTACGGAGGCTGTAGTTTCACATCTACATCATACTGCTTATCCCTATATTTTATGCTGCATATTTCTCGATTTTAGGAAGCTACGGCCGTCGTACGGTTGCCGTAGATCAAATGTGACAGTCACTTAAGTTGTGACAGGTAACCATGCAAAATGGCTACACATAGTAGACTCGCACAACAATTTTAGGATTGGAAGATGTCTGATCAGATAATCAGATAATATCAGATAATCGCAATCCCTTTGATTGTTTTATTCTATGTTTATAGAAAAATGAATACAACACGTATGGTATGCTGCCTTATGGTTGTGATGTTACTGGTGTCAACTGCTACGGGACAAGGTTTCGGAGACGGATTCAAAGATAAAGGAAAACGAAGTAACTATATCACAAATCATTAGCGTACACGTGTCCTATTATTTTAACATACTCGCATTAAGATTTTCCAATATTGAATGTAAATCTACTTGTTTTCTTTTTTCGGGGAAACGGGGAATTTAGTAAATATTCAGTATATGTTCGTAATTCTTTTGATTAAATTGCAATAACCTTTCTGAAATATAATATAATTTTAGGGGTATCGAACAATGATGACAAAACTAAGGGAAATTCAACAATATTTACGATGGTGTTATCAATTTTCTTATCATCATAATCGTTTGAGTAAAAGTTAAATGTAAAATATGGAAAGTCATGATACGACAATTGGCTACAAGTTAAGTGTTCGATTTCAAAACCATTTTATAAAAACCATAGCTTGAATACAATATGGACAAAAATTGGCCAATCAGTATATAATTCTATATAAAAGAGTGTAAAGACGCTCTCTACTTTTGGAATAACATTCTCAAATATGATGGATTTTAAAGATTATTGTGTAGATAGAATATTTAATTCAAAATACAAGGTGAACTTGCATTACATCAATTGTCTTGAGATTTAGAGTGATCTCGATTTTCCCTCCAGGTATGCTGTCATGGCTCCAAAATGTTCAAAGATGCAATTATCTGGAATTGAGATTTCTGTCTTATCAGGATCAGGGTTTTTGATACTTGAGATTAGTTGTGATCAGTTTAGATTATAAGCATCCCATTTGATCTTTAAGAAACATGATCTCTGAGATCACTGAAACCTTTTGGGACTATTTGTAGTTATTTGATTCTTTGAGATTTGATTGAGGTTCACGCCCATTCAGAGGAATTTTAGAACTTTATGATTGATTGGTGAGAATATTAATAGACACACTACCAAAAGTCTTTAGTTTATGTTATATGAATTAGTTGAATGGACATAAGCCATTTTGCTACGTCTTGTGATTGACACAGCGACGTATAAGCTTACCAGTCATACGTCACCTACTTGAGATATAGTTTTGACACAAATTTCCCTTCGTTTGTGCCAGCCCGACATTGGATTAGTCATTTTCATCTGGTTTGCTGTCAATAATATAATACACTTCTACCCATTTTCTGAAATAATTTTGTCAAATATGATAAACTGACTTATTAGGTAAGAAAGACATATTTTCTAACTTACTCACTGGTGATCCACTCGATTACGCTTATTTAGCGCGTTGTGGACAGAATTCCCACGACATTTTTATCACATATATCACCAGACGAGTGTAACTGCCATTCTGAGTAGTTAAGTATATAGACTAGTACGTCTATGGTGCTATAATGACCTTCAGGATTACATAAGGTTAATAACATACTTTAACATGTAAAAATTGTTCTAAAAATTTCCCAAGATAAATTTTTTTTTAAATGTCTAAAACCTTATGATTTTGAATCTTAAAACATGTTTGTAAATAAAAATGAAGGAAAATTTGATATTGATTTGATAAATGTAGTGAATTTGAAGTTTTAAAACAGCAATAACAAACCAATGGGCCAGATGTGAACAACAACCTAATAGCTATAACTGCCATCTATTCGAGTCCTTGCCCTCATTAAAAACTCCATCTACACAAAGAAACAAAAAGAAGGGTTATCATTCACAATAAGACAAAACGTCATGCAAATTGATGAGTCGAAGGTTTTAACATTTGTGGATAGACTTCTATATAGTCTATTCTGAGTATTTACGATAATCTCTCTTATCCAGGTGAAGAAAGTGATGTTTCAATCGACGATGTTAATGAAGAAGATTCGAGAATCAAAAGGGATGTCCTGTCTGCTGATCAGCCCGCACGGGGGTGTCCACCGTTGTGCTAGTTATAGACCAGTCTATAACAGATCAAACACATCATCACTTAGAGGAAATAGTTAAACAGTACTTGAAATTGATGTTGTTAATGATGATGAATTTAAATAAAAAATACTTCATGTAGTAATTGACCTTGTTAAGTTCTTCCTTCTTCGATAACAATAATGCTGTAAGCCACACCCTCACAAATGATGCAACAGAGAGAGAGATTTTGTATTTTCCCAAAAACGTGTCCAATTTATTGCTTTAAATGAGGTGAAGCAGGGGCGGATCTGGGAGGGTCCAAATTTCAGGTCAGAGAAAAAAACTTCAAGCGCGAAAAAAATTGTGGGCCCCTAAAACCCAAAAGTGGGCCCAAATTTTGAGCCCCATTTTCTTCAAAATTTGGCCTGAATAAGGCCTTAAAAGGCCGAGTAATGATCAAAAAGGCCCACTTTTTGGAGCCTTATAAGGCCTTTTTTCGCCCAAAATTTTTTTGGGAGCCCAATTTTTCTTTTCTGCCCCCCCCCCCAGGATCCGCCGGTGATTGTCCATATCTAGCTTATCACTCACATGTTACGCTGCGAAGACGATATCTGGGTCACATTACGACCAAAATACAAATGCTTAATTATAATATAATTGCTTTGATGTAGGAAAGGTGTTTGTGTTTGTCGTGAACCATCATCCAGAAGGTGACCGAATTGAGAAATTCACATTTGACAGAATAACCAAGACATTGACCCACCTACATTCAACGAACCATGAGACACTCGGCATGTAAGCTATGTGTATTTTTCATGATTATTTAATTAAAATTCGCAGATTACGTCATCTTCCTAGGCAGGTGTCCAGAATCCGTACCTCCTTCTTCCCCCTCACTGGTGATCCGCTCGATTACGCTGGTTACCGAAACGGTTCGTTTCGGGAACAGAATGTCGGAACGTCGAAGGTATCAGTATCATATGTTTTAGAAAATGTACATGTTTGCGAAAAAATAACTCAGAAGACAACAGAATCGTCGATTTAATTCCTCACTCTAGTTACAGAAACGGTTTGGGTTAAAAGTGCAGATCTTAACTGTTTTTCGAAAAACCGTTTCTGTAACTTAAGTGAGGAATTAAATCGACGATTCTGTTGTCTTCTGAACTATTTGTTTGCAAATATGTACATTTTCTTAATCATATCATACTGATACACGTTTGTGATAAAAACGTCGTGGGTATTCTTCCTACAACGTGTGAAATAAGGAAAAAGGTAAAATCGTAGCTTCGATTTTCCGACATTTTGTTACCGAAACAAACCGTTTCGGTAACTAGCGAAATCGAGTGGATCACCAGTGGGGGTAAACAGAAAGTATTCTGGATTTTGAAGCCCTGTAATCGGAGGATTGTTTTACGTAAACCAAGCATCTTTAGAGTCATTTTGGATCTTACCTATACTGCTATGCTATGCCTACGCAGAAGCATTACATGTTTTAGCTGGATTTAATTGTGATATTTCAGATTGAATGATGTGTTTGCGATAGATGACACCCTCGTTTATGCAACTCAATATGATTTCTTTCGACATCGGTTATTACGTAAACTGTGTGCATATCTGACAATGAAGTTGGGGTCAGTCTTTTTTGTAGACACAACCACAGGCTCCGTCACCACTGTTGCTACTGGTTTCCTGCTGGCAAATGGCATCAATGCTTCACCAGATAAAAAGTAATCTTTTCATTATCAAATATCAAAATAGAATTTTGTCAAACATTGCTCTCTAGGACATGTAAAAAATCATGAAAATTACAAGAAAATAATCGTCATGCGGATTCGTTTTGGATAAGGGTTTGACAAAAAGACATGAAGAACACAAGATGCATGCATTGATAAAGCTCGTGTATATACGAGGATTGTCCCATAAGTCTTGGAATTGTTACTCTAACTTTCATTTAAATTGGAGCTAGATTGAAAACATATCGCAATTCAATACAGGTTGACCAATCAATTGGTCCCTTTGGGATCAGTTGTATATTTTATTCAAATGAGTTTTTATTTTCAGGTATATTTATGTGTCACATATGGGTGAAAGAAGTTAGGAAGTATTCAAAAGAGAGGCCGACAATTCGTTAACAAAAATAAGGGTAAGGTGGTGAATAGTGAGGAAAAGCAAGAAAAACAATGAACTGTAAATCAATGGTAGAACTAGCAATGACTAAATTAACTACCCTCTACCCCCAATTACCTTGATTTTTAAGCCAAAAAGTGTCATATATGTGGCTCAAACTAGAAAAATAACGGAGACACACAAAAATCGCAAAAAGTACTGTTGAAAAAATCGAGAATTATGCAAAATAGCATGTCCTAATTTTTGCGTTTACTCCAACGATATCTCGTTCTTTGGTTCCTTGGCGTCCATCTTTCTCATTTACTCAATATAATACGAGCCCTTCTCGTTGAATCTCAAAATTGCAGACGATAGATTTGTCAAATTGTAGACGATAAATCTGTCAAATTGCAGAGAATAAAATTGCAGACGATAAATCTGTCAAATTGCAGACAATAAATCTGTCAAATTGCAGACGATAAACCTGTATGCGATGGCAGACAACATTGACGTCGATCCTGTTTCTGGAGATCTCTGGCTAGGTGTCCAAGCTGTCGGGCATCGTACTGCTGAATACATGGACCACAATACTCAAGAAAGTACAGCTCCTTCTAGGGTAAGATACACGTTCTTAGAAGCAGGTGTAAAAGGGTAGGAGGTCCTATATCAAATTATGGTCCTACTCTCCATTAATTTATATGGTGACCTAAATACAACTCTTTCCCTTATTATCTTATACACAATCAGGGCCAGTAAGGGCCGTTGAGAAAGGGGACCATAATCCCTGGGGGACCATTATTTCTTTCACACCGGAGCAGATCAAGTCATCCCTCTCTTTTTCCCTGAGAACTTTTTCAATCCTCGATAATTTTCAGGAGCATTCCTTAAACGATATCAGGTAAAAAGGGAAGCAATAAAAGGTGGATTGAATCAAGTGGATTGGATTCATGTAAAAGGTGGATTGGGTTGGTAATTTTCAAAATGTGGCCGATTTTTGACAAGCTAGTGACTTATATTCATCCCTCTCTTAACTTTTTCAGTCCTCGATAATTTTCGGAGCATTCCTTAAATGATAGCCGCTAAAAAAAGAGTGATAACTTGTTCTGTCCCGGTGTGAAAGAAATTATGCTCCCCTGGGGATTATGGTCCCCTTTCTCAACCGCCCTTACTGGCCCCGATTTTGTATAAGATAATAAGGGAAAGAGGTCACCATATAAATCAATGAATAGTAGGACCATGATTTGATAGGACCTCTTACTCTTTTACACGGTAAAGATTAAAAGGTGGATTGGATCGAGTAGATTGGATTCATGTAAAAGGTGGATTGGATCAGGAATCTTCAAAATATGGGATTTCTTTCTTTTGATTTTTTCTGTTAATTTTTCTCTGGCTATTTCCCTCTATAAATAATTTATTTAAATGGGTTCATGATTTCAATGAATGTAATACTGGTAGAGTGGCAAGGATGTTAAGATACACGTTTTAAGAGAACTTGTGCGTGGACTTGTTGAATTGTTACGGTCCTCTCAGGATAAGTTCTCTTCGTTTTTATGTCACCACCAGAACTCTAACTTTTTTGTGGACGGCAATTGGGGTTCGGCGGTCGGCGACTGTAACAAGAGTCTGTAACAAATGGCAGGTGGTGACATTTTGCATGTCAAGACCTTGTTTACATGTTTACTCTACTTTTTTCTGAGGATATGGTTGTAATCCTTAAACCAAAAGAGAGGGGAATAGTAATCCCTGTGGGTCATAATATTACATACTAGTATTCGCGCGCAAGTTCTCTCATTCTCTCGCATTTCGGAAAAACTTGAACGTAAACGTGTCATATCATGACCCCGGGAATTGCTGTACACCTCTCAATCTATTTGAAAGGAAACCTTATTAAAACAGTACTTTCTTTTTCACACCTTTATACTCAATCTGACAAATGAAGGCCACTGTGATGGAAATAGTCCATAGGTACCATCATTTTTCACTTACACGTTCTTCGAAACTTAAACTCCCTATTGTAAGAAGCATTTTCGTTGGATCTCAGGATTATATTGAAATCTCTCTTTATGAGCGAAACGTAACATGAAGGAAATAAATAATATGTTTAAAAAACATGATCTTGTGACTTTGGATTATGATAATGGTTCGGCCTCTATTCTATAATTGTTTTAGGTTCTGTATCTAAAAATGTCCGAAAATGCTGAGCCACAAGAAATTCGTGATGTCTTTGTTGATGACGAGATTATTTTTGCCTCGAGCGTAGCTGTAAGGTACAAAGACGCCATGTTGGTTGGAAGCATTATCCATAATATGGTATACTGCCAAATTAAATCATTTTGAACGTTCGCACATCGTCAACATCTGATTGTGCACTGTCAGGGGCCAGTAGAATACGGGAGTAGTGCTACAACTTGGGGACAGCGACATACTCTAGACCATGGACCATCATCCCTGTTATTGGGAAAAGTACGTTCAACGTCGCCATCACCATTTCACTTGACTGGGCATTTCTGGGTTGAGGAATGACGATTTCGTGAATGTGTAGTACTTCCTATCTACAGATCTGTAAAATACTGGACCTGCCTTGTTCTTTGATTTATTTGAAATATACTATAATCCCAAAATTAAATACAATATATATAAAAAATAATAATCTTCAAAAATGTTTATGTTCTGACTCTCAACGTATTACCGAGTCACCATATCTCTGCAACCATGGCAACGATTCGTTTATCGAATATCTTACAAAAATCCGCTCCAAAGGCAGGTCGTCCTGTCGTAGACACAGTGTTACGGTAATGCGGCGGGGCCCAGTGGTAGAATGTAGCCGGATATTTCAATGTAATGTGCCAATGTTTTCGTTTAGTACATCTTGATTCACAAGGTTTCGATTGTTCCTACCTCTCTAGACCCAGTGGAAAGCGACGATGAGTTTAGTGTCCAGTCTACTATACCTCTATATAGTATGACATGTCTTTGAATTGTGGTAGTGTGGTATACAGGTATATCTAATGCCTGGGTCACATTTGCTCCGATCCATCGGCCGGCGCCCAGCCGATTGAGTATTCTGTTCAAAACTGAATACAATTGTGAACAGAATACTCGATCGGCCGGTCGCCGGCCGATGAATCGGAGCAAATGTGACCTAGGCATTACTGAACAAAATGATCGTATTTTCTTCGCTTGCAAACAACAATAAAAATCATCCAATGAGTTTTCTATGATAATCTGCGTTCAATAAAGATGTAATTTGTAAATGTCCATCGTCAAAATACATGAAGTATGGAAAGCAATATAACGAAGAGTTGAAGGTCAACTGTCAAGGTCATCGTTAAGTTGAAAAGTGCGTCATAAAACATAAGCTGTTTGTGTTTTTGTATTTAATCAGCTACGAATAGACTACCAATAAACCCTGCCATATTTTGGTAAATCAAATGAACTGGGACATATTAGCGAAATTGATGGCGTCAAGGAGTAGCATTGTGAGCGATCATATTGATCATATTTTGTGCACTGGTTCGAACGATTGCGCCTACAACCGATGATACATCGAATCTAGCCAATACATATTGATATCTGCAGTATGGCAGAAGGCAGGTTTTACCGCTAAGGGCTATTTTCACATTCCCATATCCAGTAGACTACTGTAGTGTTCAAGCTAAGTATTCAACTTCTTAGGTTCACAGTGTTCTTTGGAAGTGAACAGTTTCCGAATGTGTTTACGGTCGAGGAGTTACCCATAGACTAAAGGATGATGAAAATATTTTTTAAATTAAATAAAGAGGGCAGGTCGATCAATCTGTATTTATTGAAAGATTAATTGGATTCTACCGTTGCTGCCATCTTTATTTGATTATGCAAGTCACGAGGGCAAAGGATTTGATATGGAATTTATCCTCTAACAATATGGTAAATTCAAATAGACAGTTATGTATCTTTAGTTTGAAAGGGGAATACCATATTATTACCTATAGGATAAAACCCATATTGAAACCTCTACAGCTATTGCTTTTTATTCAATCCATATTTTTAAATTCTTAATAAAATGTGCTTCAGGTGCTATTTCTGAATCTAATGGTCTTTGTGCAAATGGAAGTATGGGACAAAAACACAACAAAAACATATGGGGCCATATTGAAAACATATGGGACAAAATGTTAATTTCTATAATGAGTATATTTTATTTTTTTATATATCCACTATTACTTCAATTTGATTACTTATAAGTTCAGTACTTTGAATAAGCACCCGTGGTTCTTAAAATAATACGACAGAGTCACAATGGGATCAATAAAAGACAAATTCAGGACTTCCAACCAGGTAATCATAATTTTTAACATTAAGTTCAAAAATATATTTTTTCACAATTGATCAATCAAAAAGATCGCTCCATCATGTCCATCTATTGACTTTGATGCCATTCTTGCAGTTTCAGGAGAGGATATACATTATTGCCGATTTTTAAAAACTTCTTAGGATTTTGTTTTCTGATTGTTACAGAAAGAAATCATAGGAGGCTAGCCAATGGACTTTTAGTTTTCTAGGGTCACCAAAAGGGGCCAGGAAAATTTTGGAAAAGTACATAGTCAGTGGTCAGCAGAAAGATATTGTCTTTCAATCTTTCAAATGTATGCGATAGAGCAAGGAACAGTCTCAAAAACCCTGTAAACTAATGGAGCATTGTCAAATCCTGGGATCTGTGCATTAGACTGGTATTTGCAAACCATACTAAACAATTTGTTCACCCTGGTGGATATAAATAATACTCTGATATTTGGAAGTCTGAAATGTCTTTTATAATCACCCATGGGACACTGTTTGAGCAATTGTAATAAGTTCAACAAAATTAGTCAACAAAATTGTAATAAAACTCAACACTGGACAACAGGACAAACAAAAATACTGATAGATATTGGAGATTCCACTTTGCTCTCGTTGTCATGGGGAGAATGTTGTTTTCAGAAAATTCATCAATATATATTTAAATATGAGGGGCAAGATATTACATCATTGGTGTCTCAATATCTGAGAACATACTAGTTGATCAGTCCCTTAATTCCTTCAATATATTCATTCAATATACCAAATTCATTCAATATACCAAATTCATTCAATATACTCATCAGAGCATGAACTCATTCGAGCGAGTATGAGATTGCTAGTCAAAACAGACAGATGAGAAAGTTCAAAATTTCGAACAGTTTCACCTCCAATCAAACAATAAATATGTCACATGTTATAAAATATTTACCCTTTGAATGATAGAAAATATAAAATAATTTCAGTGTCATAACTTACATTTGAATAATTTGAAAATAACTTGAGTATTATTACTAGTATTTATCTAAACTATCGTTCTGAACTGGTTTAAAATGGGATTTCAAAATCCATTGAAATATCATTATCTACAGTAAATAGTCTATAAAAGTATATACACCCATAAAAGGCAACACGAACATGTAATGATTGATTATAGACAAACAGTTGACCAGCCTTGGACATAAAATGGGACTTTTTTCTGGGACATAAATGGGACTTTTGCTTAGATGTATAATGTAATGTATTATGTAAAACTGACTCGTGTGTGCATTAGACATCATTACCTAGTATTCAATTTGACGTCAATACGAACAAGATCAATCTGACATCGTGACTAAGTATCCAATAGTATCGAATGACTTAGTGAATATTTTGACTTGGCCAGTATCCTCATTGAAACTCAGACCTAGGGTCCATATTGTCTTTATATGAATGTATCCAATTGACATTGTTTCAAAATTTACAAGATAACCATGTATCCAAATTGACAACACGATAACCTAAGATCCAATCGACATGATTCAACTTGTATTTAAATTGACTTTATGATCCAGTATCTAAATTGACTTGATAGCCATGTATCCAAATTGACTTGATAGTCTCATATTAAGTTGACTTGATGTCCTCTTATCCAAATTGACTTCATGAGCAAGGATCCAAATTGATTTGATAGCAATGTATTCAAACTGACATACATCATATTCAAATTGACTTGATAGTCTCCTGTCCTATCCAAATTGACTTTATGACAGAGTATCCAAAATCAAAATTGACTTTATAACCTTGTATCCAATATAACTGTTTGACAAAGTATCAAAATTGACCTAGTTTGATCCTATTTTTCAGTATTTGATTTTAAACAAATCGACCGAATGGCCAGTATTCCATTTAATTGCTATCCATGATCAAGTTACCAATTTGATGTCCAACCTAAAAGTTTTATATCCACATTGACTGGAAACTTGTCTAATGCACACACACCAGTGTCATTGTCAGCAGCTTCAAAGCAGCAGCAGTTCAGAATGTGTACACTTACACTTAATTGTGTGTACACTTAATGATGTGTACACTTATTTTGTGTTCACTTATAAGTATACCTGAGGTGTACACTTGAAGGCATCTAAACCTTTGATGTTTACACTTACACTCAAGGAAGGATATTCCAGATAAAGAACAGAATATTCAAGAATAAAATAACTTCAGATTAAAAAGGGAATTGAGACCTTTTTTAATAGCCTAGGATAGACCTTTATAACAGCCTTGGACAGACCTTTTAAACAGCCTTCAATAGACCTTATAACAGCCTTGAATAGACCTTTGGAACAGCCTAGGATCCTAAAACCCTAGTATAGACCTTTGTAACGTATGGTTCAACTAATACAAACTGACAAGTGTAAACTTTGGCTAAATATTTTTCACCATGAGGTAGTCTAAGAAGACACTGACCACAAATTTAGATCAAGCAAGCACGATGATTACCTGGCAAGCGTATTAGAATAAAGCAAACATTAAAGCATTATTTACATGGATAGCGATACTCGCAGCCCAGTCTTAATTAATCAGTACCACATATGGGATTATGATTATTGGATTATGAGTTGAACTGAGCCTTAGTTCTTCATACATCCCTGATATCACTATGGTAACAATGTTGGTTACCACACCAAACATTGCCATGGCAACAGAACACAACACATGCATTTCACGGATACATATATTGAGCAATGCGATTTTTTATAAAATGTACAGCAGGAGAAGACGTAACAAGGATGTATTTGGGGGTCGTCTCAATTGGTTCGCATCAACTTCTTCATCAACATCTACAAACAATTGAATCCAATAGTTCATTGTAATTGAGCACTTAAATGCAAACTTCTTGTTGAAAGGTTACTTTATTGTTTAAAATTAGTTTTTTTATTGACAAGATTCCCATAAATATAATATTGAAAAAAGTTTATTTTTGCCTTAAAAAGGTTCCCAAAATCATGTTTACATTACTTTTTTTCATTTCAGCCCACTCCCCAGCCTGAATAAAAGATATTGTGTGTAGAATTGAAAGAACCATAAAAGACGACACCTTGTAAATTAGGCTCAGTTCTATTAATTATGTAATTGTTAAAAGAATCTAGTACGAATCGAATCACTGATCACGGGGTTAGTAAAAAGATTCAAGACACATCTCAGCTACATATACCATTTATTGTGTCAACGTTATGGAAAAATACAAAAACTGCAATGTAATGTTATTTATCTTATTGCTTGTCAACACATAAACAATGCTACGTGGTTGGGTCAACGAGGTACTGGCCGGCACCCTGTGAATGGTAGTACCATGAGAATGGTGGTACCATGGTACCAACCCTGTGGTACCAAAATCAAAGCACCTTATTGGCACCTTTTTCATTGTCATTATTATGCAGCAGAACAACATTTAACAACTCCAAACTATCATATTTACAGAAATAATCTCAACTCTCCAACGTTCAATTCTTGTAAAAAACAGAAAAATGCTGATATTATTGGAAGCAATGTTATAAATCTCAACTTAACAAATTTTTAAAATACTAAAAATAGCAATTCAAGCATAAGCCTCGTTGACCCAGATGAAATGTTAATATTGGCTATTTTACTATTATATAAGACCAGCCCTTCAGATCTACAGTTATTGTATGTATATAATATATATTAGTACAAAACTTGCAATTAATTTTATTTGAGATTCTGTGTAAAAAACAAACCCCCATCCGATGTTACGAGAACTACATATAGAAGTTAGTGGGGGGTATTATGCTTGTTTACGTGCCTGAAAAGGCGAAGATTTTGGACGATTAAATGTTGGTGGGTAAGTAGATAATTACCAAAATATTGCCAAGTACAAAAATAATGCAGCGCCACTCTCTATACAGAGTGGTTTCTCCACCAGATGTCTCTGTCTACTTGTTGCCACAACAGCACAATTACCATAGCAACAACATAAATGCATCATACAGAACTGGCATCATTTATATGCAAAATCTCAGTGTATTTGTTTTTGGTTTACTAATTTAATAGCTATGGGAATGGTGGTTGCTATGGAAATGGATGTTGCTATGGCAACAGTAGCTAGGTGGATACATGCTGTTATTGTCTTATTACAAGAATTAAGGCACTCTGTTATTATTGTGGAACAACACTCAACACCATCATAGTTCTACTGTACATATTATCTACAATATTTTGGGGAATTACCAAATCACAACAACTCTTTAACAACGCAAAAAAAGCTATCACTCATAATTTTGATATGTTCAGAGTTATCACAAGATCAGCACCTAAATATGTTGTTCATTGTCAGGATTATGTTAAAGTTGTTGTTGTTACCATGGTAACCCCATGCAGCAGTGATTACTGGGCAGTGTTAGTGCCTAGATACCTATATAATAGCATCGATCTTCAGACCACTTATATTGAAAATGACATCAAATATATAACATGTAATCTCATTATTATTCTTTAAAGGAATGACCCATCCTAAAATTTCCTGTGATATGGCAAATAGTCAAAGTTTCATTCCACAGTTGGTTCGATATTATCAGACAATGGATTATTTTAACCATATCACATCTAAAAATAAAAGGATAAAATATTCCTTTAACAGTCAAATGCATTCAGTCCAATCAAAGTAATCATGGCTACAACTTTAAGAGGTACAATAGGTTTCTATAGCAACAAAAGTGGTTTCTATGACAACCTGTTTTGTGTACGTGGTCTGAAGATGGATAGCTGTTAAATTGAAGGGCATGTGCAACCTTGCTAAAAATACATATATAATACTGCCTTGTTTCAGACTTTATACTAATGCTACTATACTATTCTAAATAGATGTCTGTACAGAGCTTCTCGGAGGAAGACTTCCTAATCAACTGGTAATATTCAAATAATATCAAATGGTGATTCCAATATCAAATGGTAATTCCAATATCAACTGGTAATTTCATACATGATTGTGAATTATGACCATATATGGTTCTAAATGAATGCATAGATACAAGTTGCATACAATTTTATAAGTTGAACAAACTACTTTGTACAATAAATCTCTGTAGCGTATCGTCAGTTAAACAGAACACATGTTCTTAAATGTACATATTCTCTAGCAACGCTCAACACATAACCATTTTTAATAAAGTATATATAAACATGTAACAATTCTGTAAAATCATCAAAAAAATTCAAATTCAAAAATACCAGCACATAGTGATAATAAAAATAATAGTACGAGTATAAACAAAATTGAATGCTTATTAAACAATATAAAAATCAAGGTTTGAAGTATTGATAGAGAATATGCCCATATTGGCAAATAATTTCCCGATACAATTCTATATATAAAGCCACTTGCCTCTCAATATTTAATAACCCCTCCCCTCCTTCCCCCCCCTCTCATCCCCCCCCCCCTCCCATAATGCTAGAGTGGTTTACAATGAAAATGTCAACTATAAACAACTAAGTCGCTTTGCCGCAGGATATAGGACTATAATACATAATGTACAATGGCGGAAAACTACCCCGCCAAATGGTGTATAAAAGTTTACCGAGAATATATTTCATATTCCCGTGCTAGGACATTCCGTTTATTGAGGCTACCCCCCACGAAAAATATCCCACAATGAGATTCTGATGTATTCCGAGAAAGAACACAGAAAATTGGTTGCCTAGGCAACAACATGAAAACATTAATAATTTGCATAAAAATAATAAGTAGTTTTGATCTCTCGAACCAACTCCATCTCACTAGGGTCATTATAAGGGGGATTATGAAATAAATAAATGACGGACAATTTTCACAACATTAAAACTGTTGGGAGAAAACATATAAATATTGGGGAGTTGTTTTTTGAAAACATCTAAACTCACAAAATAAGTGAAGCTGAAGTTAATGCATTTAGAAATTCATGTCATAAGAAAGAGAAATATCAAGCGTATTAATATGATATTTGAAGACGTACAAGCATCCATAATAGATATTCACCACTTGTGTTACCGTGGTTACATGGACTCCCCGGGGCCTGGGCCTGAGTGGAGACCCCTTGCGGTGGTAATTGAAACAATAATTATTACATTGGTGCAGATAGCGCCCTCTATTGAAAGATTTGAGAAGCAAGTTGGATTACGATTTTTACAGATGAAAAAGCATCAATCACTCTTGCCAACCAAGTATACAAAAAGTATTATAAGCTATTATATACTAAAAAGGGTTTATACCATGGTACATTAATTCATACAAATATGTGCAGGTTGGTTGCAGAGTTTTGGTTGACATATATTAAACAACTTAACCATTAAAAATAAAAAATGCAAAAGTGCACAAAAAATCGTTAAACTTCATACATCAGCAGTTATTGATGGGACTCCCTGGATTAATAAATAATGTGCTCATGTACAATATTTTTTCTTATCAGTTATTAATCCAAGAGTCTTATATTAATGATACACCTTATCGCTATAGATACAGTATACAACATACCATTACCAATGGCTGAAGTTAATTTCTATTAGTGGTAACCGTGGTAACCATGATACAACACAATTGTTTAATTGATTCTACAGTTAGTAAAGTGTAACAACAACATTCTTTTATATCTCTAGCCAGCCCAAAATTTCCCAAAAGACACATACAGTTTTAGGCAACACAGAAAGACCGGAGATCAAATATAAGGCCCTACATGATCGAGGCTACAAAGCCTTTGGACTACATAATCAAGGCAAGGAAGCTGCCTTGTGCAGAAGTGTTAACAGGCAAAGGCTATCTTTTATTTAACCACAATCGAGTATAAAGGCAAGCATGAAAATATAAATTGCAAAGATATTCTATTGTGATCCGCAAAGATTGAAAAACCATTCTTAACTACATATACAGTTGCATGTCCCAATATACTGTTAAGTTCAATCACTAATTCAACTAAGAATTGTGGGTGGCTACGAAAGAATGCTGTTAACACTAAACGTTTGCAGATTTCTTAGACCAACTCACATGCTCGTTCAATTTCTGATTTCCACGAATAGTTTCGTATTTCAATTAATTTTTGATTCTGAGAATAGTTTCGTATTTCATTTAATTTCAGATTCCATCAATTATTTCTGGATTTTTATTCATTGTCAAATTCCATGATATGTTTCGTATTCAATTCAGAGCGTTTGATTGGTCTAAGAAGCTGCGGCCATGCTGCTTGTGTATACATACACCATGGCCCAGTGAATTGCTCCTAGATTATCTGGGGTAGTGAAAGTCCTTAAATACTACAGATGTGAATCGCAAGGATCATTTTAGGTCGTAACCATGGCAACTGCTTGTCCAATTGTAATACTGAGACCCGGGCGGGTGTGGGGTTGACGTGGCGACCTTAGTTACGTGGAGTTGGCACGGTAACCACGACAGAGAGGAGTTAGTGGCCGGCTAATGTTGTTAAACGTGAAAAAACAAAAAGAAAGAAGATCGTTAGTTTTCAATGGTAATGTTGAAATGCATTCGCTTTTGGACAGTAAATTATGTGGTACTATGACGTTACTCACAACAGGACGTTAAAAGTATGTGCATTGCCTGATATTAACATGCGGTTTAAATCGGGCAGATTCTACCATGCTTTAAGAACATTATCAAAGCTGAAGATTGGATTAAATGTTTTAAGAAAGATATGTTATGTTACGCCTATGTACGTATTAATCAACCATAGGTTTTATCATAGATGGATTACCAACTGAAATGCACAACTTTGAACGCCAATGTTAGTAAAGTCAGAGTCTCTTATTAGTTATACGACGAATCAGTTTATATTAGTTATACGAGGACCGAGCAAGATATTCTGATAAAAAATACTCTCATTTGTTCCTGAATTTTTATCAGAATATCTCGATCGCCCCTTGTACAGCAACTATTCATATATGATGAGCAAAGAAAAAGAACTAATGAAAAAAAATTAAAAATGGAATATATATATAATAGCTCAAAATATTTGATTTTTTACTATGATTTTTTTATTTTTCCAAGTGCATAACTTTTTGTATATACATATAACATATCTGTTTTTAACATTTCGACTAAAACCTAGCCTTATTTGGGCGTATCACCCTGATATATGTAAAACTCAGATTCTTTATCTAATAATAATGCACTTCTTTATAATAATGCACTGCTTCAAAATAATGCACTGCTTTTAAGTAATGCACATGTAATATCCATATTATATACAAAACATGGCCAGTTGGCTTTCTTACAATTCCTTTACTTTGATATCATAGCAAAATATACAGAAAATTTGTCATGTAAAGATCTCAAAACTTTGAACATCTCTGAGCAAATATTTTTCATATTTTCAAAAACTCTATACTATACAGTACAATATTTCACTGGATATATATAAAATAGCAATGTAGTAAAAATATATAAGTCAATCGTCATAAAATATGCATACATAACTGTATATATATATTATGCATATGTAATGAATGTCCTTTATGTGTTTCACTGTCGTGCATATGCTCTTTACTTAATTAAATCATTCCAAATATAAAAATGAAGAATCGAAAAGTCCTTTGGTGTATTACGGCATCTGCCTTTCTGATATTATGCTCCGATAAAAATTTGAGTATAAAAACTATTAGGAGCATTGCTTCATGATTATATGCACATTGTAGTATATTTTCGGGAAATAACACTAAAACATATCCCGATTTCAAAAAGTCAAGAATAACGTCTTTTTCAAATATAATTTTTATCCGATCCTGTAAATTCATTATCTAAGATGCTGCAATAATTTGATTTACAGAAATTTATAATTTGTGTAATGTAACAAGACACCCCATAAGGAGACCCCCGTGCCCTACCACCACCAAATGTGACCAGACAACATCACTATGTACACGTCATAACAATTCTTGTTATATAGTCTATAAATTTTCCCGGATTCTAAACTATTATTGCTCTGGGAATATAACACCAGCTGCATCAAATTTTCCATCCGTGACCTCGTTTTGACTAGTTATTTGGAGGAAGGTCAAGGTCGCGAAACTGGATAACGATTTATTGCAACATCTTAAGTTAGAGACATTAGAATTATAAAAGGGAGAGATTTGAACATAATGACCCTTTATAATGCTTGTGCCTACATACATATGAAAAAGAAATATGCCGTAAGATATGAACAAAGGGAAACACGTCCTGGCGATTTCTTACGCTTAAAAACACTGAAATCTCACCAGAAAAATTTCTCTTCAGTTCAAAAACTTTCAGCAATTTATTAATACATATAATACAACATAGACGTTCGGTCACAAATATACATCAAACAAAAACATCTCGGGTGTCACAAAATACAAACTCGTAGTAAGTTTTTTCTTGATGTATAACTGCGACGGTACGTCCAGTCCAAAATACAGTTCAACTAACCTGCTTAAACAGATCATAATGTAACCCGTGCATAGGGGTTGTGACGTACTTGGGCCAGTTCCCGTCTTACTTTAGGCATAGCACCTAGAACATATCCCAACATGTTAGAAACAAGCCGTTAATGAAGAGTTTTATGGAACAAAATGAACAGATAAAGCTAACGTCACCAATGTATACCATCTCAACTATGGGTGTGAACTCGTTTTTCTGAGTAAGAAATCATTCCTTTCTGAAAGGAGACCAATTTATATCACAAACTTTCATCGTAAAATTGATTTTTGATTCAGACAAACCTGATTTTTTACAAATGAGAAAGTACTACCAGGGTACGATATAAAATAGTTGTGAAAGTATACAATGTTAGACACCTCCAAAGAATCATAAATCTTAAGATAGAAGAGTTTGGAGTTGGTCATAACTTATTCCTTCAAACAAATCTATTCAAATTAATTGAGAAGTTATGACAAACCCCAATGTATTGCATTATTAAAGGGGATGACCAGGAGAGATAGTCATATCACTTTTAGTGATAGTCGTATCACATTCAGTGATAGTCATATCATTTTTGAGTGACAATCATATCATTTTTGGCAATAGTCATATCACTTTGAGCAGTTCAGTAACAGTCATATCACTCTGGGAGACAATCATATCACATAAGCAATAGTCATATCACTTTGAGACAACAGTCATATCACACTATTCAGATGTTCAATCCTCCAGAACCTAACTCACTGACATATTAGCAAGCAGAAATAGGTAAAACTTTAAAGGTACAGTATATTAAAACATGCAAAAGAAACATTATTGCGTTATCTTCAAGTTCTGGAGGCATCTGAAACGAACTAACTGTACAATATACTAGGGCATTATTATGACATCAGAATACATCATATATTATGACATCACAATACAATTCATGTATTATAATGTCATGAAATCACAGCTTAAGATGAGAAGTTAGTAAGGGAGACCAACCCATGTGCTACATTAGAGGTCACATGATATTCAACGTCCAATTAGAATGAGGCAATGTATCATGGGAATGGAGCTCTCCGCTTGAGTTAGTCACTGTATCTGGGTTCCTATTGGATCGCTATATTAATATGTACATTAGTGTTACAATGTGCTGTTTGCGCAACCAACCCGCCACAATCCGCTGAAAGAATTGCACGTTTACTCAAAAGAATTCAAGATTCACGAAAGTATGTATCCTAAAATATGGATAAAGCATTGCTCACGTTAAAACAACAAAAATTTCAAAACATGGGCAGTCTGGGCGGGTGGTTAGAGTGAGTGACGGTGTCTTTTAAATAAAGCAGCGACAGGGGGAAAAGACGCACAGATATCAAGATGGCCATCATCGCTATGGAAACGGCCAGGAGATCTCTGTAGCCTATTGGTTAGATGTAGGGAGTCCTGAATGAAGAAACGAGATGGGTTACTATTATTTCACATGTTATGGACAAACTCTGTATAACAGGGAGGCTCAACACTTCTTTCTGTTTTTCTTTCACCTGAGAGTCAAACAAGGCATTTACATGCAACATGTCACTACCTGCCATTTGTTACAGATGCTGAACACCAGACATCAAGCACCGTCACAAAAATGGAAAGTATAACTTTCTGCACCACTTTTTGTATTTTGGCAAAAAATGAGCACTAAATTCTTAACAGCCCTGTCATACAGAGTTAAAAAAAGATGCCTAAATGCAAAACCTTGACTATACACCATTATATGTGACCACCCTATAATCTTCTCATCTTAACTAGCAAGTCACACCCATAATTCCTGCATTTGTCACATGACCTATATTAACCAATTAAAGATGAGAATTCCAGTTAGGGGTTCACACTACTGTGAAAAGAAAATTAAACCCATATGTTAGATAATATTTTAATATTATGCATCAGGTACAATTGATCTAATTAATTTTGTTTTGAATTTTATGCAGAGTCAAGTTGCTTAGCTCAACTAAAAATGCACTAAAGAATATATATTAAGATATATATTACAGAATATATGAAAGCCCACAACCTAATATGCCAATACTATAACAAACTTCTAGTATATCCCTTGTTCCTTCAAAAGCCCACCTTTCAAATACATACAAGTGTTATGTAGCGTTCTCCACTATTTTCTGAGAATGTAACAAAATGGTGCGTCTGCCAGGAACAAGGGTAATTCTACATGCAAACTTTGTATAAGTAACTGTTAACTCCATAATTACATACAATCAATTTACTTGATTTTTTCTCAGTTTTTGAAATGCTTCTTTTTACATGTTTTGATAATGTAACCCTATATTGTTGTATCTCAAATGTCTCACGGCAGTCATTCTGACTCCATATGACTCATTCCAGCTTTATATGCTGGTTTTTAATGTTAGTCATTTTCTTAAAATCGTTTAGTTGCCTTTTAGCTATAACTAGGACTAAAATCTATACATGATGTGTAAAGCATATGCGTGCATGTTCGTGGCAAACGCGTTATTATCACTGCCGCATAAATAGCTGCTTATATATATAATGATAAAAGGATCATGTGAGTTGTTTTGGATTAAAATCAGTCGTGTTAAATTTCATATTAATTCACTCTTGGCACTACCGAGACCTCAATTGCACTGTTGAATTATGGGATACAAAATGGCTGCAGCGAGACACAACAACATGAATGATATCAGGCCCTGGGTTTATACACAATCAGGCCCTTTCAACCAAGCTCTGAAACCAAGAATGATGCACAGAGATTCCCAACTTGGTAAAGCAGCCATCGATCGTGCGATTGCGAACCAACTATGAATGTCTATATGTGAGATATATGTGACGTGACGACGCAGGCCGGCATATCTAGCGAACATAGTGTGCTAAGGACATACCCATAACTTCAGCAGTCTGTTGAATCTGGGCTTGAGCTTGGGCCTGAGCTTGAGCCGCCTGTGCATAGTCTATAAATTGGCCTGGAGAAGTAGCCAACTGGTATGGGTAATCATATGGGTTGTAGAGTAGACCGGACTCGGCCGGTGACACCAATGGTGGGGGACCTCCCATGAGCCCCGATGAAGTGGGTATCTGGGGTGTAGGCAGTCGTGGCGATGTGAGCAAGATGGGCGCCCCTGCAGGGTTGGGGTTTCTTATTGACTGTGGTAGCTGGAGCACTGAAGTTGGCGCCAGAAGACGGGGAGCAGCTTGTTCTGGAAGAGAGAATAATAACTCGTCTGTTAGCTTACATGGCAATGTGGAAGCACTAGTCCAATTCAAAATAATTTGAGCCTAACAACCCCTCCAAAAATGAAAAAGATTACTACCTGACCGAATCCCACTCCTGAAATATTTGCAGAAACTAATTGCTACAAAACTTTAAATATGCAAATCTCAAATTGTCATTTATTCCTATACTCGTTGATCATTCAAATGTAATAGGAAAACCATAAAAGGTTGATTATGATGTTGATCAAATGCCCAAATTTGGTCTTTTTCCACTAGTGCTTCCTTCACTATACTGTTGATGATGACAAGTCTCACTTAGTTTCCATCATCGATATGACATATGATATGCAAAAAAATGTTTATTTTTGTTTGATCAAGCAAACAAACGAAGCAAATAATTCAAAACAATCAAAAGTCACTCAAGCATTATCTATTTTCTAAAAACTGTGCCGATTCAACCTTGATATTTTCAAATTTTGAAAAGGAGAGCAAAAGCCAAATGCAAAACGCTTGCTCATTCTAATAAAACATTCCATCTAATAAAACATTCAATCGAGTAAAATATTCCATCTAATAAAACATTCAATCGAGTAAACATGTCCTCCTACATGAGATTTTCATAAAACATGCAGGGAACTATATGCTACAGATAGTAGGTAAACTAGCAGACGTCTAAATATACAGTCCAATACACAGCCCAAAGAAATATAATCTTTTAAGAGGCTGTTCGATGACCTGTATACATATACAGGTAAATTCATGTATAATGGGAACACCAGTCACGTCACATTACCCATGAATTACACTACCCATGAATCCCATTACCCATGATGCTCAATCCCATGAATCAAATTACCCATGATGCTCAATCCCATGAATCACATTACCCATGATGCTCAATCCCATGAATCAAATTACCCATGATGCTCAATCCCATCAATCAAATTACCCATGATGCTCAATCCCATGAATCAAATTACCCATGATGCTCAAAATCCCATGAATCACATTACCCATGATGCTCAATCCCATCAATCAAATTAACCATGATGCTCAATGCCATGAATCAAATTACCCATGATGCTCAATGCCATGAATCAAATCACCCATGAATCACATTTACCATGAACCTCATTACCCATAATTCTCATTACCCATGAATCTCATTACCCATAAATCTTTATGTTTGGGTGAAATAAAAAACCTTCTAAAATGCTCCTTTTTTCTTGATGTGTTTGAATTCATTTTCAAGTGATCTTTGAGATTTTCTGAAAGTCTAAGCATCAGTGACTGGTGATCCCATTTTACCCCCCCCCCCTCCCCCGAACCATATACCCTCATATTTATGCTTAGTACTAAATGTATTTGCAGAATGTCATGTTCTCAAAACAGACATGCTGCAAATACATCAATCATTTGAGTCGCATTATCAAATCCAACCCTTCAAATGTGCATCCATTTCCCTTTCCTGATTATGGTTAATGCTTTCAATCTCTATTGTTTGAAGGGGTTTAGAGAAAGATAATTTGTTATCATAAAAATAAAATATTTCAGTTTTTGTATTTTTACAATATATCCTAATTCTCAAATTGATGTGTGTATTTTCGAAATAATCGTTTGTCATTTAGACATTTCTGGCCCACTCTGTAGATTTTCAAAGCATTAACCACAAGTACAGTTGAATCATTGTGGGCCTGTTAAAACTGCCCAAATGATTTAACGATACATATTATCAAAATATTATGGTCAAATATTAACCCATAAACCAGAGTTTTGATTAAATACCATATATATAAACCCAAATCCAAATATATATAAAGTTACAATAATTAAAACCAACATAGCCTGAAATTAAATAATAAACTGACCTCTCTTCAGTCAGCTTTCAATACAAAAACATCACATTTACTACAGTAAAATAATTTACTACAGTAATATAATTTACTACATTACGAGTAATATAATATGATATTCACAAATAATGGAATAAAATATAAAAGAATAATAAAAAAGAGACTCGCTCTCCGTGGTATCAATTTTTTCAATCTCCTATTGTTAGATCACACACAATTATTTTGTGAATCAAGCAAGGCTTATCTAAATAAATCACACAAAAATGGTTGCTAAGGGGTTGCCGAGCAATCATGCATGGCATTGTCATGACAACTATCTGAAATTCAAAAATCGTGCAATTTCAAATTCTACTAGGTGACCAACAAGGAGTGATTTTTTGTATTTTTGTGAATCATTACTAAAGCTTATTCTAATTCTAAATAATTTAATCTGAGGTGTGACTATGGTGAGTAGAAATAACAAATAACTGATCTAAAATTATAAATATTGCAACATTGGCACACGCCATCTTCCATATATTTAAAGATTTTGGGATATTTGCAATATAGTGAATTTCATCATTATTGCAATATATCAGAAAAGCAATATCATCAATATTGCAATGTATCAGAATTTTGAAATCATAGATATTGCAATATAAGAGAATATCAATATTTGACATTGTCAGAATATTAATATCTTTATCATCTATATAAAGCAATATCACCAGAATATCAATATATTGGAATATTGTCTGGGTCAGGCAGTCTTACACAAAGCCTCCGGAGTCGATTTACATTTTATTTCCAGTGTTTGAGGAAAAAATGCAAAGGAGCAACGGATTTTGGTCAAAGATGATCAGACATAATGGAAAGAAGTCTATGTGAATGTTGAATAAATTGCATCTACAAACTACCTGTGATGACTACATGTGTATCAGCTACATGTGACTACATATGTACGGACTACATGTGTACAGAGGTAAACAAGCACCATAAAACAACCATGGTAACAACAAGCAATTACCATGGTAACAAGAAAATAAACAGCTATATCTACTCTGCTTATAGCAGGTTCAAATGCAACATTTCCATCAGGACCCCATGAGGCAAATAATAGACCCCATGAGGCAAATACTAGACCCCATGAGGCAAATACTAGACCCCATGAGGCAAATACTAGACCCCATAAGGCAAATATAAGACCTCAAGAGGCAAATCTTAAACCACATGAGGCAGATCTTAAACCACATGAGGCAAATATTAGACCCCATGAGGCAAGACTCACAAGAAGACCCATGAGGCAAATCTGATCAAAATGCTCTATCTTTCACTCGCAAAAAAGCATGCAATGATTCCAACAAACCCTCAGGCTGAAACCTTAGGGTAAGGGAACCAAGGGTTGCAGGGGGAGACAAGCAGGGTTGTGGGAGCGGTCGGCAAGCAAGAAATCACACGCGGTGACGTCATGCCAACTTACGAGATGCTGACGCGTTTGGCGTCGAAGTTGACGGGGAGGACTTTGTATCTCGATATGTCCCATTTATTATGGCCAGCTCCATTAACTGTCGTTTCTTAAGATCATCTTCACCCTCGGCCTGTTAAACAAAACATGTATGGTTAGCGGTTATATTTGGATTAGATATCTTGGCGTTAGGCTACGACAAGTTAGATGTGTATGTGTCGTATTGTGTTACATATTGGTAAGTTACATTGATTATCTATACGTGGCAACCTTAGTACTTGATCTATTCTAGATTCAGAAAAAAAGTTTTTGTACTTAATGGTTTTATCCAATGTGCAAAAAATACAGCTCTGATAGTTTATTTTAAAAATCACAGTTGGTGTTTTTTGTTTTCCAAGCACCTGGTTATTTTTTAAAGTACATTTTTTAAACATGTTCAACTGCAAAAAAATGTTTTTCTATAGATTTGTTCCTCTAAAGAACTGCAAAACCTTGTAAATCCGAAAAATCAATTGGGAAAGATAATAAAGTTGTAGTTTTATTCTCAAAAAAAAATGAAAAGAAATTCATTTTTAGTTCTCATCACAAAGGCCATCAAGACAAGTACTAAGGTTGTGTGCATCAACCACCATTTTAAGTGCAAAATGACACATATATTAAACTGCTCCTGTGTGCCCATCAACCAGAGTTAGATGAAGCATGGAGCTCTTCAATATCCTCCTCCTCCTCTCCTCCAGTTTGAAGAGCTCTCTGGACCTAGAAATGAAGTATGGGGTTAGGCGTTGGTTAGGCTGTTACGTGTTATACCCACGTAGGAGATCATGACTTACGAGATACCATTTGAGCTGCTTTGTCTCTGTAAGTACCTTTAAGAATAGCTAGTTCCATAAGCTGCAGTTTCTTTAAGTTGTCCTCTCCCTCAGCCTGAATAGACAATACAACAGAATCAACAATAGAATCTACAATGGCTATACAATATTTACAATACAATATATGAATTTTATGAAATATAAAAATAAAGTGAATATACCAGGTCGTTCAATAAGTTCGCGGAAAAAGATTCTTGATATTTTCTCATGAAGTTTTCACACAATGTATAAAAAATACTTTCTGATTGACTCTGAAAATATCAGCATCTCTTATTTGATTGGTCAAAAATAAGGGTTACTATGGTAACTTGACTTTTGGGTAGGCGGGGCACTTTTTACGTCACATTACTCATTAGAAAAACAACAGAATAGTAGGCAATTTATGAGTATATCACATGAATTTCTTCTCCGCTTTCTACTTGTACATGTTATTACTTAATGTAATAATAGTAACAACTATTGTCCCATAAGGTTTTAGAAATATTCTCCCGCATGTTTAATGCACAGTAGGTTCCATTCAAGCCATTGACGAGACAATGCTCTGAAGCCATCTTGAAAACTTGTTTGAAGAGCAATCTGGACTGCAGTCAAAAGTAGCTTCATTGTTTCATAAAGTCAACCTCTTAGCTGATCCTTCATCCTAGTGAAAACAGCAAAATCAAAGTTGTCTCATCTGGAGAGTATGTAACTTGGGGCAGCTTTGCCATCTATTTTGCCAGTTATTTGTGATGGTTTCCTGCACACTATTAGCAGTGTGATCGGCTGCATTATTCTGATGGAAAAATTTAGAGATCAGCTGAATGGAAGTTTTAATCAACTTACCATACCATTACTTTGTTGATTTTCTGGTCCACTGGTACAGCATTAACTAACACAATTTCAGAAATGTTCGTGAAAACAATGAACATCAATTTTCCCTCAAAAATTTGTAATTTGAATAAGAACAAATAAAAAATAAGGATCCTTCCTTTGCACATATTTATAGATTTCTGTAATGATAAATTGTGTGACGTAAAATGTGCCCCGCCTACCCAAAAGTCAAGTTACCATAGTAACCCTTATTTTTGACCAATCTAATTAGAGATGCTGAGATTTTAAAAATCAATCAGAAAGTATTTTTTAAACATTGTATGAAAATTTTATGGGAAAATATCAAGAATCTTTGAAATGAGAGCATTTTTCCGTGAACTTATTGAACGACCTGGTACATGTATCATGTTCCTGTAGAAATATGATAATATATCACAAAATTCAAACAAAATATTTTAAATAAAAGGTATTTGATTAGTGTTTTAAAAAGTTGCTGAAACAATATTTGATGAGAACAATTCACATATAACAGTATAAAATACAACAAACAGAAAATATTACCCATATTTGGGCGAACTCCCGTGCAGTGATATATCACTGCGGCGGGCAGGTATCTCACCGTAAGCATGGTAACATCGTAATAAACAACTGACGTGATTGGTTCTAGTCCCATGCTCAGGTCGCGTGATTGTAAAATTTAGACAATTTCATTGGTTCAATTGCGCGTATTAACTAATAAACAACACGTGCGGTAAACTTTTATCAACACAACTTTTACTCAGAATTCCTTCCGCGAGGATTTCCTCTTATATTTCATTGATTTGGGAATTTTTTGACAAAATAATTATTGGTGAACATAAAAGAACATATATTTTATAAGTTGTGTGAAAAACAAGTCTATCTGTGACAAAAAGGGGGACTATCTTCCCCAAATTTTGGGGATTCCATAATCTGCCCGCCGCAGTGTCTATACCAAGACACTGCATAGGAGTTCGATATTTGGGTTGTTAAAACAGATACAGGGAAAGGAAATTAAATGAGTACATGAATGGAAAGTTATGGTTCTTTGTAAAGATGGCAGCACAGTTCAATTAATCACAACCAAAAGCAGATCAAAGAACTGAGAGTGAAAGGGAGATGGAAATGCTAACCTTCAAAAATAGCATTTTAATCAGATTTAGTAGGTATTTAGCCAAATGACTTGTATGATGTTAAGTTGATTAGTTGTCAACTTAGCTTAAGCTGCCATGCTGTCAAAATAGGCTAAGAAGTAGTCTCAATTTAGCCAATTTTCACTTTGGTTGACCTCCCCTACTGATTGCTGATCTACTTATATGTCCCCTCCCCATTGTGAGAACATCATGTGATCACGACTCAAATTAAGAAACTCCTTAATTGGATCTAAATGTTTTTTTTTCAAATCTGTTTTTTCCTGTTGATGGAATGTGAACTTGAACTTCGATGGACCTTTCATTAATAGTACAAATACATAAAAAAATGTTAAGAGTTCAATAATACTTCAATAGCAATCAGTTTGGTTGAAGCCCAAATTTTCTAATAATGAGCTCAATAAAATTTTGATTAAAATCACCCAAAACCCAATTGTTTTTCCATAGAATGTCCATAATATGAGAAAACTATTTCTATTCACAAAATGACAAATTAAGAAACCTATCATATCCAGTAACTTCTAACTGACCTGAGAGTAAATCTCCAAGGCTGGCACAGATTCCAACTGATCAATTCAGCTTTGGTTACATACTTATTGCCTTATGGCACATGACAAATGGAGTTTGTAGATGAAAGGAGGCATTCTATCTGTTTCTATCAGTTGGTTCTCTATATTATAATATTCTATGCTTGTCTTGTAAGGCTAAGACTCAAAGGCTAGGATAATAGATTTCATTAGAATTTCTTACATAAGACAAAATAAATTTTAAACAATAGGATGGTTGAAAATTATCAATTTTTCTAAGAGACACAAGTGAAATTCCTCAAAACAACAGGAGATTTTTGTAAAACAGCTGATTAAGATATATTGTTTTTTTAGGTAGATCCACATGAGAATTTTGAAGTAATTTTCATGATTTTAGGTACCAATAATGAATAATGAATGAAAAAGATATTTTTAACTATTATTTGGACATTCATACATTATGGTAGAATGCATGGTTCAAAATCAACTTTTACTAAATGTTTTAAAAACATCTTCCCAAAACTTATCCTTCAGCCTTTTTGTGAATGTGCGGAACTTTTGTTTTCCATATGTTCAAGATGATCTGTTAGAAACAGCTCAAACCATCAACTTTACCTTCCATCTGTAACAGAAGTCTGTTGGAAATAGTTTAAATGCACATCATTGTAAAGATTTAAGAGATAATCCATCCTTGTTGAGTTCAGAAAAGGTACAGCTTTCTATGTAGCAAACTTGGCAAAAACACAACACATGGGAGCTGAATCTAGGAAGATTTTTGAAGATACCTTGTATCTAGTTATTAATATCTAGACCCAAATTTAGAAAAAAAAATTAATAAAAATTGGGAAAGTTGGATAAAAGGATATCTATGTCGATTTTAGTCATTCTTTGGCTACTTGGTGCTGCATTAAGTTGAATATTTGCAAGTACCAAGTTGTAAATATTTGTTTTGACAGAAATAGAAACTAAAAGTAAGAAAATAGAGAATGAGATATAAAAATTCTACACATCATTTGCAGCTTGTCTAATGACCAAATTAACTTCCCAAAACAAAGGAATCCATCAGACTGTATAACTCCATGCATAAAACAGTCCCACATAGCTAACCATATTTTCCTAATATAATATATAGCCCAACATGAGATATATTATAATAGCTCTACATTCTAGAGGTGTTTCACTTCAGAGAGCACAATAAGGACAAACTACACAGGAGTTCACTAGAAAAATAGTTTCAGCATGATTAACCAAAGTTCATCTTTGACCAGTGTGTCTATGGCACACACCCTTTCAAATGCAGCATGTCTGAAATTCTAAGGGCACATACCCTGTTCAGCATGATCAACCATAAAAATGGTATTATAATACAAGGCCTGTTCTCATGGCATAATTTCATACAATGAAGCTATTTTAACATGTTTTTAAATGATATACAAATGCAGAATATACAATTTTGAATACAATTACAATTTCATAAGGTTTCCTCAAATAGTGTATTGTAAATTCTCCTTTTAAGAGAAAAACAATCAACATCTCAATTCGTGTGCCTAAAATATTTCAAGAAATCAGCCGCCCCATGTATTCCTTCCAGTTGAGAAACTACCTTGAAAAATCAAAATGGAATTTGCCACAAAGAGCTAATCCATTTCAATCTCTCTGGAATGAACTAAAGCAACCCCAAATACCCATTTGAACAGAGGATAAACTCATGCCTAATTCTGCCACCCAAATCCCTATGAGCAAATGACTTCTAGTTAAGTGTTACCTCATAAAACCTTGTAACTAAGCCTCGATATTCATCAAAGAACAGGAATTGTTTAATTCAAAGAGAAAAGTCACTTGTTTTGTTGAGCCAGATAAGAAGTTGGAAAAACAAATTTTCAGTGCCTCCCAGTATTATTCAACCAGTTATAAAACCCGTTTGAAATAATTTGACCCAGGACTGAAATACATTGATTTACACTGAATGGTCACCTCTTTCACAAACCTCTAGAAAAATAAATGTTTAAGTTAACCATTCAAACATTCGTATAAAGTACAGAACCATGCTTATGTGATCTTTTGAGAGGTGACCCCTACAGCTGATTGGATGGAGGAATTCAAACATTTATCAGAAATTGTATCTATTATTTGAAGAGCAGAACGGAGATGAAAGTTTAAAGGGTAAAAGTAATCACTCACTATGCTCATAAATGTGACAATCCTTACAAAAAGATATAATAGATAAAACTTGAATGTTGACATCAATGTTCTTTTGAAATAAATACCAAAGAATTAAATTTCATTTTTTGAGCTAGCATACCAAAATGGTTCAAAAACACTTTAAAAAAACTCATCCCTTTATAAAAACAACTAGATAGCCCATCAATGGCCTTGGAACATTCACCAGAAGGCATTGCATGTGAAAGTCCAACTGACCTATTTGTTCACAAGCTTTACTACAATTTTCTTTTCAAATTTCAGATGTTGAGACTAAAGCCTTTAAAAGCTTCAACACAATGTGACTTGAACAAATGAACTAAACATGCATTCACAGTTTAGGTCAGGTG